GAGAAGACTGAGATAATGCTAGTAGGCAATATGTAGCAAAAATTCTTTGAGAGACATGGATGGATGTCTTTTGGGAGTGGGGGTGGGGGTGGTTCAGTTTCATTAACACTCTGAGTTTAGGTTTAAAACATTGCAGCACTGTGTTTAGTACATGAAAGCAAAGTAGACGAGTCATTTTTCATTGTCTTAAGGCCTTGGTTGAGTATTGCTTCTATAGATGTGCTTTCCATTGATCAGCAAAGTCTAATGTAATTCTTTCTTGCTTGTGGTGGCTGGTGCACCACCCTTGTAACAATGACCCACATAGACACATAGGTAGCAGGGATCAAACCTGAGACTTCTGGAGCTTAATGCATGAGCGTCTACTGCATGAACTAAGTGAGACATCTCCTAGCTAAGATTGAGTAGGTTCATCGGTCTCCCCTGGCCTAGCCACAGCAGAGGCAGACAGATGCCACTCCAGGAAAGCAAAGGTTATATAGGAATGACTGTTTTGGGGTTCAGAATTGTAATTTTGGCCAAGTGGTTATTTCTTCTGATGTGACTTTTATTTTGTTAAGTTAATAATTATTTTCTTGACTAATTAATGCAACACAACAATTAATTGAAGAATGGCTATTCCCTTTCAGTAGATAGGAACAGGTTACAGCTCTGACATTAGCATAATTGGCAATATTTGTTGTGTTCTTAGTGGAATATGAAGATACTAATATCTTCCATTATTTAATTATGTTGCCAAATACAACATGATTCAAGTTGCTGATAGAGATTTGAGTGGTTTTGGGCACTCGACTTGTTTATCGGAAAATTTAATTTGCAAAAGTATTTCTTGGAGTGAAGGTTACATTTTGAAAATTTCATAATTGGGCTTTATTCCAGGATCACAGAAGCCAGTGACTTAATCTTTGGATCCAGTGCATTGTTCTTGTGCATCTTCAGATGGTGTGGGTAATGTAAAGGGAGAACTGCCTCTACCTCTAACAACAATTATCATCATATAGAACTGACCTTAGGTTGCCTAATACTTAAAAGGTTGCAAGAATTTTTATTCCTCCTTTTAAAGGAAGCTCTACCACTTCCATTATTTGCAACAGGCCTTTGAAATTTGGCAGGGAGAAAGCCTTGGCAGTAGGGGAAACTTATTTGTCCTAGGAAATTCCATTGATATTTAGCTATGTTACATATTGCTAAAAATTGTCATTTCCCTCTGTTGCTTGCATTTTTCAAGGAAACTTGGGCAGCAAGTCAAAATAACAACAGAACATGAGCATGCTAAAGAGCAGCAGTGCACATGCCACAAGAAATGTCTGGGAATTGTCAGATTAGCTATCACAGCAAAGCTGTGGGGTAGAGAGATGGTCTGGGTTGGGCTCACTTCTGAGCCTGGCATAAATCTTTAGCGCTCCAACCGCATTCTGGGAGCACCATGTCTTGGTGAACCCTAGTATTCTTCAGGACACAAGATGAGTGCACAGTGGGGCTATATTAAGGTTACATGGGCAATGTGAAAATTGGTATTTCCAAATTGTTTAGCATTTGACTTTGAACTCTAAGTAACATGCTTATAATAATGTGTAATTAAACATCATAATGCCCAGTATCCCCATGCAGACGTGAGCGAGAGTTAGAATGCGATGGTGTAAGAGTGGATCGACTTAGCTCCAATTGAAGAGTCTATGAGACTAAACATACCTCTGAAGCAAGAGGAGGAGGTCCTGAAAGGAGGAATTATAAGAGCCAGGTCCAGATAGAGCTTATTATGCTGGATAGGGTATAAACACATTCCAATGCACAGTGCCTGCCTCAGTGATATTTATAATCTAAGACAATAAATAAGAGACCAAGGATTGTGCCTTAACATAAATGTAATTTAATACATTTATTATTCAGTTATTACAAATTGATTGACAGCTGTCCCTTTGGTTCTCACTTATTAACTGGTCGGTTGTCTCAGAGGCATTTGAACTGAGGTGGCATTGAGGAAGGAAAGGGTAGTAAATTGGAGCTAAGTGTTCTTGATCCATTCGGAACTGGCATTCAGTGCATAAGGGGCAGTTCTGAGGAAGGCAGGGAGACCTCTGGTTGAGAAGCTGACAGGCATGGGAGACTGGCATGGCTAGCAGAATGGAAGTTAAGAGCAACGTGGTAAAAGACCAAAGGGGACAGATAAGGAGGGGCAGAGATTGGAAGTGCATTGAAAGTGAAGGCAAGAAGCTAGATCTTGACATGGTGAAATAAAGATAGGCACTGAAGGGTTTTGATGCGGTCAAAGCAAGGGGCTAGCAGGAGAGCAATTCTTCTTCTTCCATTCTGAATGTGGAGGGTTCATAATATGTTGGTGTGTATGGTTGGCCTTTCTGTTAGTTCTGTTAACCTCAGTGTAATCCCATCAGCACATTTACTACTGTCATCTTGGTAAATTGTGAAGCCCCAGCAAATGATATAACACATATTTAGTGGTTAAATTGATATATTTCACCAGCTTCTTACACACTGGCTACGTTTAGACTACATCCCTTTTTCGTAAAAGGGATGTAAATTAGACTTATCGCAATCGCTAATGAAGCAGGGATTTAAATCTTCCCCGCTTCATTAGCATAAAAATGGCTGCCGCTTTTTTTCCCGCACGGAGCTTTGTCGGAAAAAAGCGCCTGTCTAGGTGCTGATCTTGCAGAAAATTAAGCCTCTATTTCATAGAGGGATAAGGGATCTTTCGGAAAAGGCTTTATTTTCCACAAGATCAGCATCTAGACTGGTGCTTTATTCCGACAAAGCTCCGTGCAGAAAAAAAGGCAGCCATTTTTATGCTAACCTGGTAATTGAATAAAAGCACTGCTATTTAAAATATTATGCTTTCGATATAGTATGAGATGAAATCCTCTCTCAGAGGGATCATGCATTATTATGTGACTGATAAAAGGGATGGTAGGTGACTATCTTAAATAAAAAAACAGGACTTTCAGTTCTTCATCCACTCTGACAAATGGAGCTGTTTCATGAGGTGATGACAGGATGAACCTTCCCCTTTGCTCTTGGAATGGAGATGGTTTTGGCCAGGCCTGCACAACTCGGAAAGCGGAGAGGGCCATATTACTCAAAGAAAACAGCTGCGGGCCGCAAGTAGGGATGCCAGATGCTTTCCCAAAAAATACCGAACACGCGGGCTAAAAATTTTTGTCGGGGGGGGGGGGCCCCCCACGTGTTGGGCATACAAAAAAAAACCCGCACCGCCCGGCTTCAGCACGCAACCACAGATTTTGTTGAAAGCTCAAGATTTTGTTGAATAAATTGACACACAAGGGAAAGACTCACAGTCACACAAAGAGAATAAATATTTCACGGTGCAAAATTTGTTCCCTCTGATACAAGTTATAATATCAATGGGGCGTAGGTTTTACCAGCTGTCAAGCTGTGATGGGGCGGCCCGCACTCCAACAATGCCGACCCCCATGCTGCACGGGGAGCGCGGCTTTCTGACAGTGGTCTGCGCCGCGGAAGCGGCCGCCCAGCCGAGTGGCATGCAGGGGGGCCGAGTCCTGGGACGGGAGCCAGGGGCGGGGGTGCTCGCAGGCATAGGGCGGGGCCAGAGTGTGCGTGCATCCCTGATGTCAGGGGGAGAATTTCCGGCACAAGAGAGCACCGCATTCATAAGTGGAGTAGAAGAGAGCAGAAGAGAGGAGGGAGGAAATATTATTTCTGAAAGTCGTCACGGGTCGCACAGTGATCCCCTTCGGGCTGCATGCAGCCTGTAGGCCGTATGTTGTGCAGGCCTACTTTGGCCTTTTATGCCTGTAACAGAGTTTATTCACCACTCTGGTGCCATCTGTTGGTTGCGTTGGGAATTTATGTAGTAGTGTGCGCTCTTCGGGTAGTGCCGCACCACCATCATTTCTGCTTTAGACCCAAGTCTGTCCAAGGACTGTGACATCCTCTTCAACACAGCCCTCCGGCCCTTTCATACACTGTACTCCTCCCTTCTGGGGGACTCGCTATTCCACCACTTCCTTTCAGGGGCAAACTGCAGTCCAGTAGGGATGTTACCAGGTTGGAGCAGCTCCCCGCCTGCCTATACCACAGCATTGTGGCCACAGTCCTCCACCCACAGTGCAGTGTGGCAGAGCTGCCCAGCCTGAGGAGTTCCTGTCTGCAGCAGGCCCAGCCTGACTGGAGCACTCCGCAGGAGGCCTGGCTAGGCTGGAGCAGCCCCCTGCCCACAGGATCCCATGTAAGCAATTAACCAGTTAAACATATTATTTAACCGATTAAATGGGATTTTACATCTCTAGGATCTAGCCCAGGGCTACTTAACATGTGGCCCGTGGACTGCATGTGGCCCATTTGTTTATGGCCTGTGGGTGAGAGCCAAAACAAAAAAGTAGTCTATATAATGGTCTTCTTTTAATATGTGTTTTAGTAGTTAAATTCCTGGACTATCATTGCTGGTGAAAAGTGCTGTAATATGGATGGATATCGGGTAAATATTGAATTTTATTAATATCAGTAGAACTGACTTAAATGGGGCCTGCATGTTGTGTAATCTTGCCTTAATCTTTGTATTCATGCCCGTCAGTGTGAAAAGCTATTTGCATATATTTGCATATACATTTCCAAGTATATGTAACCACACTTAAGTTGCGGCCCTTGGCATGTGCTGTGAGTATCATTGTGGCCCTCAGGGCTTCCAAGTTGATTAGCCCTGATCTGGCCACATCCTTCAATTGGCTCCAGGATCCTCTTTATCCTTGTGTCAGGGCCTCCATCTCTTGCTCCTGCTGATAGCACTGTTTTGTCCAGGGTGCTGGTAGTTCTCACCGACCTCTAGAGATCATCCTTCCTCCCTAAACTCCCAGCATAGGATTGCCCTAATCTGCCCTGCAGCTGCCTTTTTATATGGGCCTGCTTGATCCTGATTGGCTGCTTCTGGTGCAGCCTCCATAGGGCTGCTTTTAACACCTTTTCTTTCAGTAAGGGGCAGCCACCACATCACAATGCTCTTGAGTTTGAGCTAATGCGACTGACCTCACCATGGCACTGTCACATGGTGTTCTAAAGTCTAATATTCTGTGACAGTGTCCTGAGACACAAGAAACAAACACAGCCTTGGCTCCACCTTCACACTCTGTTATTAAAGTAGCTGTGCTGCTGTGTGCCAGGTAGGAGGGAAGGGTCTTGATTTTTCAGCAGCAAGTTGCTGCCTCTCTGGAGCTAGAGAAAGCTGGAAGAAAATTGTCACTCTGATGGGTGTTTCTGAAGCAATCTGCACCAGTATCTTTTCTCAGCTCTCAGGCTGGCCTTTGAACTCACTTTACAAAGATAGAAATGGGTAGATAAAGTGCAGGGCAGAGGAGATTCAGGATCCCTTGCTTTATTTTAGTTTCTGACGTAAATAGAAAATTAATTACTCACTGTGGGATTAGGGAAGGCAAGCTGTACTTGAGAAATCTAAGCAAGCTCTTAACATAACATAGCAAGGGAAAGCAGCAGAGAGATTTTGTGTTGGTATTTATCATAAAGACTAATCTACAAAGTTAGCATGACATTGAATGAGCGCCAGTGGACTGGATAAAAGTTGGCTAAGGGATAAATGGGAAAGTTTTCCAACACACAGAAAATGCTGACTTAGGAGCAAAGAATTTGCTATTTGAAATAATGTCTTGCAGTCTATCTCTAAAGATGCACAATATAAATAAAAGCAAATTATTGTAACACCTCACTGCACAGTATATGAAGCAGCATTGACTGATGCTTACTATAGAGTATCATTTCTGGTTACAGTCTGTATTACAGGAGAAATACTAGGAGGAAAGCCCTATATGAGTGAGAGAGACCATAAATTGAGTACTCAGCCAACCTTGACAGCAAAAAAGAATAGGCCAGCTCTTCATTCCAGCATAAAATTAGTATACGTCTTTTGACGTCAGTGAAGCAATGTTGATTTACAACAACCGGGGTTCTAAATTGAGGATCAAAGTCACTGTGATATATAAAATATTAATAACAATTATGGTAATAATGTACCCCCTTCTAATGTGCCACGCACAAGGTCATACAAGCAAATTAAACACAATTATTATAAAATATTTAAATTCCTATAAGCACACACGGCCAGCTCAATTTTACCGTTGTTAAAAGCTACAGTATGCATGTATACTCATGGACCATTTTGTTTCATGCAATGTTATTTGCATAAGTGCAAGAAATTTTAATGCATTGCTATTGTGGAGAAGCTAAATGAATTCTTTGTTTCAGTCTTCATGGCTAAGGATATTGGGGAGATTCCCAAACCTGAGCCATTCTTTTTAGGTGGCAAATCTGAGGAACTGTCCCAGACTGAAGTCATTAGATAGGTTTTGGAACAAATTGATAAACTTAATGTAACAAATCACTGGAACCAGATGGCATTCACCCAAGAGTTCTGAAAGAACTCAAATGGGAAATTGAGGAACTATTAACTGTGGTTTGTAACCTGTTCTTTAAATCAGCTTCTGTACTTAACAACTGGAAGATAGCTAATGTGATGGAAATATTTTAAAAGGGCTCTAGAGGTGATCCTGGCAATTACAGACCAGTAAGTCTAATATAAGTACCAGGCAAATAGTTGAAACTACAGTAAAGAATACAATTGTTGGACACATAGATTAATATAATTTGTTGAGGAAAGTCAACATGGTTTCTGTAAAGGGAAATCATACCTTACTAGAGTTCTTTGAGGGAGTCAACAAACACGTGGACAAGGGGGATCCAGTGAATATAGTATACTTACATTTCCAGAAAGCCTTTGACAAGATCCCTCACCAAAGGCTCTTATGTAAATAAAGTTGTCATGGGATAAGAGAAAAGATCCTTTCATGGATTGAGAACTGGTTAAAAGACAGGAAACAAAGGGTAGGAATAAATGGTAAATTTTCCGACTGGAGAGAGGTAACTAATTGGGTCCCCCAAGAGTCTGTCCTGGGACCAATCCTATTCAACTTCTTTGAAAATGATCTAGAGAAAGGGATAAACAGGGAGGTGGCAACATTTGCAGATGATACTAAACTGCTCAAGATAATTAAGACCAAAGCAGACTATGAAGAGCTTCAAAAAGATCTCACCAAACTAAGTGTTTGGGCAACAAAATGGCAAATGAATGTTGATAAATATAAAGTAATGCACATTGGAAAAAATAATCCCAACTATACATACAATATGATGGGTAATAGTTTAGCAACAGCAACTCGAGAGAGATCTTGGAGTCATTGTGAATCTCTGAAAACTTCCACTCAATGTGCAGAGGCAGTCAAAAAAGCAAACAGGATATTAGGAATCATTTAAAAATGGATAGAGAATAAGACAGAAAGTATCTTATTGCCTCTATATAAAACCATGTTACGCACACATCTTGAATACTGTGTACACACAGATGTGGTCGCCTCATCTCAAAAAAGATATATTGACATTGAAAAAGGTCCAGAAAAGGGCAACAACAATTATTAGAGTCCCATATGAAGAGAGATTAAAAAGACTTGGACTTTTCAGCTTAGAAAAGAGGAGACTAAGGGGAGATGTGATAGAGGTCTATAAAATCATGACTGGTGTGGTAAAAGTGAATAAGGAAAAGTTATTTACTTATTGCCACAATATAAGAACTAGGAGTCACCAAATGAAATTAATAGGCAGCAGGTTTAAAACAAACAAAAGGAAATTTTTCTTCACTCAGCGCACAGTCAACCTGTAGAACTCTTTCCAGGGGATGTTGTGAAGACTAGGACTTTAATAGGGCTCAAAAAAGAGCTAGATAGATTCATGAAGGTTAAGTTCATCAGTGGCTGTTAGCCAAGATGGGTAGGAATGGTGTTCCTAGCTTCTGTTTTTCTGTAAATGGGTAACGAGAGGGATCACATGATGATTACTTATTGTGTTCCTTCCTTCTGCGGCATCTGGTATTGGCCACTGTCAGCAGACAGGATACTGGGCTAGATCGACCTTTGATCTGACCCAGTTTGGCCGTTCTTATGTTCTTACATTATGTTCTTATGTAAACACATTTGCAGACTTCCCTCTACTGCTACTTTGGCCAGACCCAAGAATCTTACTCAAAATCTGCAACATCAGTGATGACTTTTTAATGATCTATACCAAGTGAAACGGTTTCCACAGGAAAAACTGAGGGACCCTCACATCAAAATAACCCTTTGGTCTCCTCTTCATATCCTTTCACCTCATCTGGCAGAGGGATAATGTAAAGCTTGGTTTCTCACACCCCAGGTAAGTGCTCCAACCATTGGGCTAAAAGTTACAAGGCAGGCCTTGCTCACTGAGTCCCTCAGGCAAGATAGATGTTTGTCTGTCTATCGCCCCCGGTTTGTGGATTGTGCTGGGTTTCAGTATGCAGATGCCTAAGGTGAGGAAGCAGTGATTAAGCCCAGAAGCAGAACTTTCACAGAACTTTCATTGCAAAAACATTAGAGCCGACAGACTGAGGAGGTAGCCGAACAGAAGTTCTGTGGATCCCAGTGGAGCCAAAAGCTGGAACTTAATGCTTCTAAACACCTTTGTGTCTTTGGGCCTTACTTGTCTGTGACTTGCACCTCCTGAACCTGGTGCCGTTCAGTAACCAACTATTCCCTGCAGACTGCTCTAACTCGCTTACAGTCACAAGAGGCAGGAAAGACAACCTAGGATTAGGGATGTGAAATGTTGTTTGTGTATCTGGTTAAATGTTAAGTTTAACCAATTAACCGATTAAACCCCTTCCTGGGATTGGCATGATTTAGGGTTATCCTAGATCTACAAAGGCCTCGACTACACCCACACTTACAATGGTGGAGGTGGGAAAAGTGGTGATAACCAAAATGTTCTGTTCAAAATATTATTTTCAGCCTTGCTTCTCAAAGTTGAAGTCCACTTGCATTAACTCCATCAAGGCCCATAACCTGTGAGTTTGGCTTCTGGGGATCACACCACTGGGAGTTTCTTGGTTTCAAACTGAGACATAGTGACATGGAGCACTACTGAAGTGCATGGGAACTTTACCATTTTAGGTCCTACTGCTCAAAACATTCTGATTACAATACCAGGTGGCGTTCCCAGTTGGCTGAAACCAGAAAGCCCTTAGCGCAGGAGTGGGGAACCTTTTTTGGGTGAGGTATCACTGGCACAAAGAAAAATCAGTTAGGGGGCTGCACACAAGCAAGAAGAAAAAAACCACATGCTCACTGACATGGCAGCCGACTGAGAAGAAGAAAGGCATTCCCCACATTCCTCTTGAACACCAGAGTCGAGGGGGGCCCAGCCTAGTAGATTCTGTGTGCTCCAGCCCCGCGTTGGGGCAGCGGGCATAGAGCACCAGTGTGGGCTCCCCAGTGCCGGGGGTCCCTGAGTCTCAGGGCCAGATCCAGGCAAGCTGAGGGTTGCATCTGGACCCTAGGTCTGAGGTTCTCCACCCCTGCCTTAGAGAACTCAGGGTTCATCTGAGCCTAGTGTCAAAATAGTACAATGAAGAGACCAGTAGGGGACGCTGCAAACTCTTATCTGTAGGCGCCACTGTTGTCTAGAGATGGTACTTTATGTTGAAATCAGTTTCTTTGTAAAGAGAAAATAAACAGTGCACAATACATTATGACTTCAAGACCGAATGAACCTGGAATTCTGTTACTTTATAATTAAAAGGCAAGTTTTGTTAATGACTTTTATACTCTAATTGTAATTAATTGCTACACAAAACAACATGAATTGAGTTAACTCTTCCAATTTGTACTTCTGTGCCCCCAGGGCTTTTATTTTAACTGCGAAACATGACAACATCCTAATTTATTTTTATTACAGCAGGTGCAGCACTAAAAATTATTTAAGATAAAAGTTGAACATAAGAACATAACTGGATACTGTGGGATTACATGATAATTTATTTAAGTTGAAGGTTTCCTGGTATTTTCACAGGAAAAAAGAAATATATATACGTGCCAGTGGCTTAAACATAATTGCCTATTTATTAAGCAATCTGGTATCAAAAGCAGTACCATTATAGCTGTGAATGCTTGGTTTCCATTTTATCAAAGTATAATGGGTAAAGCCTGGATAAACATATTCTAAACCCCTAATTAAATTTGCCAAAGAGAATGCAGATTTCCTTCAACATCCCTTAAGGGTATTCCTTTTTTTCCCTTTCACATAATAATCTATGTGATAGTATTAGGCAGTACTGATCGGGCAATATAGCAGAAGAATACCATTCTCCAGATGCACACGGAAAATGACTGTGTTGCAAAGTGACTGGCATTTTTATTTTGCTCCTGCTGTTTCTTCATTTAATGGTCTTCATATTTTAGTCCTATAATTTTGATTCTTTACATTGATTCATTATATTAAACATGAAAGAAATGAACCCTGGCAGACCAACAAAGAGGTAACACCAATTTACTTGTCAGCTAGTTAATTAAGGTGAACTATTTAAATTGTTCTGGCAAAAACAGATTAAACTATCAGTAATTTTAAAATGCAATTATGTTTTAATAATGATTTAGACTAATAAAATAATACCCAGCTCATGTTTTCATATGCTAGCCTGAGCTACAGTATGTCTAGGGGGACACTCACTCTCTCTCTCTCTCTCTCTCTTCTGTATGCAATTCGTGTGTGCAGTTTGTAAAGACACATCCAGCTCAGCTGAATTTACCTTGGCAAATATATGGTACAATGGTGGATCTGAAAATTTCTGTCTGTTAATAATCAGATACTGGAGATACCTGTTTTACACGTATACTTGAAATATGGGCTGTCTGCAGTAGTTCAGGCAGCCCTGTATAGATACTGTTGATAATGCTGACTTTTTATTGGTGACCACTGCACATTGGTTCTATCAGAAAAAGTAAAAAGAAAAAAATTCTTCCAATTTCATAAATAATAATTCATTCCTAGTCTACAGCTGTACCTCATTGCAGCCTAAGATCCAAGAAATCACATCCATATATAATGCCCTAGTGAAAACCTGTTTTATGGTTTCAGTACGCAAAAGCTTAAAAAGACAACAGAGTACATGAAATGAATTACAAAGGTATAGAGCAAAATCCTGTTGCTGCTTTATTCAATATCAAAACTCCCCCTGCTTGAATGGGGCCAGAATTTCACTCTTAAAGTTTAGGGCTGTCAGTTAACGCGCATTAATGCTTGTGATTAACACAGGCCAGAAGTAATGCGTTAAAATATTAACTTGCATTCATCGCAGGCATTTTGCATGGAGCCAGGGATCAGCTCTGTAGTGCTACTCTTTTGAAATGCTGCAGCGATGTTTCAAAGGGGCAGCAATGTGCAGCTGACCCCAGGCTCGCTATGGTGTTTCAAAGGGACAGCACAACGTGGAGTCCAGTATCAGCTGTGTGGTGCCGCCATGGCATTTCAAAGGGGCAATGCCACCTGGAGCTTATCCTGGGCTCCTTGCAACGCAGCCCCTTTGAAATGCTGCCATGGCGTTTCAGGGGCAGAGCTGCATGGAGCCTGGGATCAGCACTGTACACTTTGTATTCTGTGTTGTAATTGAAATCAATGTATTGAAGATGTAGAAAACATCCAAAATATTTAAATAGTATTCTTATTGTTTAACAGCGCCATTAATCGCTTGACAGACCTACTTAAGTTTTTAAAATGTGACGCCTAAGAGAACAGAGCAACAGGAGTGGTTGGGTTATGCAAAGTTACTTTTCCTTGAGAGAGACACCAGCTGGGTGAGGCAGTATCTTGTATTGGATAAATTTCTATTGGTGAGAGAGGTAAGCTTTTGTGCAAATACAGCTTTTCTATATAATGTGAAAGCTTGAAAGCATCTCTCTTTCACCAAGAGAAGTTAGTCTAATGAAAGATATGACCTCACTGACCCATGTCTTTCTTTCTGGGCTACGTCTACACTGGCCCCTTTTTCGGAAGGGGCATGCTAATTTTGAAAGTGGGAATAGGGAAATCCGCGGGGGATTTAAATATCCCCCGCGGATTTAAATAAACATGTCCGCCGCTTTTTTTCCGGCTTGGGGAAAAGCCTTAGAAAAGCCGGAAAAGAACGTCTACACTGGCCCCGATCCTCCGGAAAAAAGCCCTTTTCCGGATGATCTCTTATTCCTACCTCAAAGTAGGAATAAGAGATCCTCTGGAATAGGGCTTTATTCCGGAGGATCGGGCCAGTCTAGACGCTTTTTCTCCGGCTTTTCCCCAAGCCGGAAAAAAAGCGGCGGACATGTTTATTTAAATCCGCGGGGGATATTTAAATCCCCCGCGGATTTCCCTATTCCCACTTTCAAAATTAGCATGCCCCTTCCGAAAAAGGGGCCAGTGTAGACGTAGCCTTCATGTCTCTGTCTTATACTGCTCCTCAGCACTGTAAGTAGTACCAGAGTGTCTTCAATGTAAAATCAATAGCAGTCCTCCAAAGTCATAAATTAGTCTAGCTTAGGACTTCACCCTGCTTCTGTTGACCTCAGTTAAAGTTTTATTCTTATCAAAGTCTCGATCTTGCCCCTGTAGAAATCAATGGGAAAATTATAAAGGGTTGTGTCTCAAGAACAGATGATGTGATAATGGGCCAAATTTAGAAGGGGAGTTTTCATCACGTAAGAACCATTGAATTTGCCCCACTGTTTTTTGAGTAGACAAGTTTAACACAAGCAGTAAAACTCCACATTATTTTCAGTAAAGTAATTCCAATGCACTCTTCTGTGTTTAGGATATTTTCATCAATTATGATTGGTGGCTAGTGCATGCCTAGGTATAAGGGTTAATTAAATCAAGTGGTGAAGTTTGTAGAACAGGGAATGCTTCATTAAGCCCTGTGTGAATTAACATGTACAATCTGTTCACAATACCCTGAGTGCCATTCCTGGATACAATGTAATTACTGCTTACACACAGTTTCATTAGTTTTGTGTTTCTTCCACTGTGGTTGACATATATGTTGTCTTCACTAAAAGACAGGCGTAGAGGAGGGACTGCTCACTGGTGGGCATCTAAGCATATTGACAGTCAGCAATTCATTTTTCCGGTGACTTTGGAGACACTCTCTCCCAGATGTAATTAAGCTTGTAATCAGTGCAACTAACACATTTTTTAAAAATTCCACATCCAATTGGGGACTCTTTTGAAAAGCTGGGTTTCAGTGTGTTAAACAGCTGTGAACTGGACACTTTAATTTCCCTCCCTCGGACTGCTAACAGTGTATGTTGGATATGTTTCTCTTTGAATATGCTCGTAGAATGTCCCCCCCCCCCCCCAGGACAAGATAC